GCCGCCACGCTCATCTCCAGCACCCTGGCTGTCAAAAAGCTCCTGCGCAGCCGCAGCGACCCCAAACTCTGGGCGAACGCCAGGAGGGTGGCGGCAAGCGTGGCGGCTGTGGCGTTGGCCTATGTATTCAGCTTCGTCCCCTACCACGTGGTCCGCACGCCGTACACGCTGGCCCAGACCAAACTCATCACAGACTGTGAAACCAAGAAGCGGCTGTTTCTGGGGAAGGAGTCCACTCTGCTGCTGAGCGTGCTCCACCTCTGCTTCGACCCGCTCATCTTCTTCTACCTTAACGCCCCGTTCAGACACACCATCAGGAAGCTGTTTCCCTGCCTCGGAAACCACGCCATCAGAGACGCAAAGGAGGAGGCGGCAGAGGAAATGATGCAGCCGGCGACCTCTGCACAGCAGGAAGCTGCATGCTAACCGCACCGTCTCCTCCAGGATGGTACTTAGCTTAGCACAATGACTGGAAACGGTTAGCTTAAAATGCTCTCTTGAAAGACTACAAACATGGACTAAAGACTTACAGATGCTCCTCCATGTGCAACAGGATTCAACTTGACTTATTAAACTTATAGATTATTACTCACTGTTCAGTTTTTATCAGTGTGACTGGTGTTAATAAAACGAGGACTAACAGGTGAAATGATTAAACTCTGTGATGCTGTTACATGGACTGTAACTTTATATTATTATTAATTCATAAAGATGAAGCAAAGAAAACAAACCCGATTGGTCCTTTTAAGTGCTGTGAGCGTCTGTCACCAGCAGAGGGCAGCAGTAACCAGTGTTCAACTGAAACACCTTATAGAACCTTATGATCTCCCTCTTGTCCTTTTCAACACAGGACACAATTATTAAAGCTAAATACCACAACAAAAAACATTTTTAATGTCATGACAACAGGTCAGAAAGCAGAATCTAAACACTGTGATGATGATGTACTTAAACTGTGTCTTGGGAACATTTATTGAAGAAGTCTTTTGCCAATAGCCATATCCTAGATAACCGTCCTTTCTGAAATCGAACACCACGATGATCCCAAAAAAGTTGAGTCTGTTCATCTGGTTTGACATCTGGCTGACTTCTTCAGTCTCAGCAGGTTCCAACCTTATAAACAGGACATTTGAACAATGACTGAAACCAGCAGCACTAATGAACAACGGGCTGGGAGGTCAGTTCATGATCATTAATATGCAAATGCTCATTCCCACTGATCAAAGACCACTGATCAATAACCATGAGTCCCATTCACAGAGAGTTCGGGAAAGGCTGCAATCACAGCATTGTACGATGGTGACAGATGTACCCTTAGGCCCCCTCCTCCATTCAGAGATGGTCTTTCCCTCACATTCCTTCAGTGCTGCTGGCTTCAGTCATTGTTCAAATGTCCTGTTTATAATGTTGAAACCTGCAGTCAGCTGAGACTGAAGAAGTCACCTGATGATGATGAAACTTTTCTCCCACTGAAACGTCCAGATGAACAGAATCAACCTTTTGGGATCTCCTTACCTGGATGATTGAGCGTGCATCAGCACTGCGATGAGTGACTGACCTCACACAGAGGTCAGGTCAGAGTGCTGCTGTCTCAGGAAGAAGATGATGACAATGGACCAA